TGCAATACATATTGTAGGTCTTGACTTTCAATATCAATAAATATAGTACGTACGTATTGAATGCAGAGTGCATATTGGTAAAAAAAAAAATAAAAAATTAAGTCAATCAAAATGCATTTTTATAACTCTTTCAATTTAAAATAAATTAAATCAGTTAAAATTTATGACTCTTTCATAATTAATTTAAATTGTTTTTAATCATTAGAATTAGCAAAAAAACCAACAAGGTTCGTTAATATTGCTGAAATGTGTTAGCTGGTTATATACACTATATACTAAACTCCATTAATTATAATAATAATTAATGAAGTGCTTCAAACTATTTTTTGCTGAATCGAAATCGTAAAAATGCAAACATTAATACTGCACCATATTATGACTAATAAGTATACACTATATTTGAATCAGACATGATTTATGTACGTACTTACGAGATTGGGTCAAAATCCTGATAACCAAAAATCCCGACAAACCCCGACAATCAAAAAAGTGTTCATTGAGCAATTTTACTATATAATCGCCTCAACTCTAACCCTAAACTAGGCACTCACCTAACTCTGACCTATGCACTCACCTACCCTACCCTAATTAAATGAACTTATTATTAATTTTTTGTTGCCGGGTTTGTCGGGGTTATGACCTGTCGCCGTCCTTACAGTGGGACACTTTAAGAACAGTTAACCCAGTGATCAACAATCATTTTGATGACATCTTTTGTTTATCAGAATTATCATAAACCTAACTCTAACCTAGGTCGAATGATAGTCATGCGATATTGTGATGATCACTGGGTTAACTCTTCCCCTTACAGCCACCCACAAGAGTAATACGTATCTTGATTTTTCTACATACGTATTAAGTCAGAAAAACGGGGGCTACTTTTGCAGGTGATTGTACATGTCTGTAATAAATTTTCAGATATCTTATAGTCATCATATATGGTGGTTAGAATTAACATAGTTGCAAAATATTGTGCACGATCAATATTATGTTAGGTTTACAGTTTAATGGTTGACAAATTTGTCGATTTTGCATGTTGCTGATAATTTATTATACTAAACACATGGCAACTAATCTTATTAATTATGATAAGAAACATTAAATATTGACATCAAAATCATTCATTAGTAATTATACTTGATAATCGTGGAATTGGAGAATCAACCGTTGCTTCTTATGATGACCCCATCACGATTGAATTAATGGCTCAAGATACAATTGCACTGATTAAACATCTTGGAATTAAAAGATTTAACCTGTTTGGAACAAATATGGGTGGTAAGATTCAAAATTTTAAAATTTTAATATTCTTTCAATGATTTTTTACTTTTTTATATGTAAAAATTTTATAGCAAGAATTGCTTTTGCTGTTGCCTCGGACCTTCCATCTGATTTGAAGTTAGAGAAATTAGTTGTTAGTACTTGGTATGTACATTATTTGATTAATTTAATTAATTTACAATATAATCTATACTTAAATTATCTTTTTTATGAAGTGCTCCTCGAATTGACACCAGTTCAGAAGCATTTCAAGGATTTGAAAAACTTTATAAAGTAAAAAGCCTTCCTTTTGCTACGACTATTCAGGAACAAAAAGATCAACTTCTTGGAGGTAAACATGAAAAAGATTTGGCTAAATATCTACTTGAGCATCCCGATAAACTTGAAAGAGTTGCAGAAATGATGATTAATACTAACCCTAAAAGACCAACTGAATTGTTGAGTAAGTATATGTTTTTTAAATTTATCAATAATAAAGCCTTATCCAATTTTACTATATTTGTAGAACGTCAGTGGGAGGCGATTAAAACATATGATCTGTTTTCAAGATTAAAAGAAATTAAAGTTCCAACTTTAGTATTTTATGGAGAAAATGATGTATTCTTTACCATTAAAGATGCTGAATTACTTGATCAAGAACTTCCTAATTCTAAACTTTATAGAATTTCTAATGCGGGATACGCGTAAATATCATTTTAAAAAAAATTTGTTTTGTAACAAACTATTATAAAATATTCTAACTTTATTAAAAAAATTTAGTTTTTATTCTATATTGCCGCAAGAAATTGCCAATGTCATCAATGAATTTTCGAATATTTAAATTTTAAGTAACAATAATTAACAATTGCACCTCATCACTCGTGCGTAAGAATAAAATGTTGAATAAAATGTTGAATAAATGAAAAACTTTATAATGACTATGTACTTTGATTCAAATCTTTATGATACATATAAAAAATTGTGCCCTATCTATGCCTTTTATTGATAAATTAAATAAATGAACATATATAAAGCAATCTTTACCCCTATAAAAAAAAATTAAAATCATAATCAAAAATTGGTTTAATTTATTATTTTTTTAAAAATGAATATTTACGATTTTCTGGTTTTAGATATTTTTCGGTATTACATGTATTTGTTACGCATCATTTTCAATTACGAATGACGGCTGTTATTTTTTAATCTCCACCAATTGAAAAGTAACTCAGGTCAATCATGATGTATTTTATATTAAACTAAAATTTATCGATATAAAGGAAATTGCATAATATAATATTACTAATTTTGTCGATAAGCAAAAAAGTATATGAAAAGTATAGGGATGGTAAAAAAACGGTTTAAACAGTTTTTATACATTTTTTATTGTTTTAAAAAATGTTTTAAAACATCGGTGGCTGGTTTGTAATTTGGCTGTAATTTAAACTACCGCCTTTGATTGGTTAATTCAGTTTCAGAGAAAGTTTTATCTTTTTATAATTGAATTTATAAAGAAATTATGAAAGAGTCATAAATTTTAACTGATTTAATTTATTTTAAAT